GAGGCAGCGCAGAGTTTTCTGATTCTCTTTGTCTTTTTTGCGTATCATCAGAATTACTTCGCGACATATATTCCTATGGAAAAACCAACGCAGTTGTTGATATTTTTAAAACAACGTGACCGATTTACAAAACTGTAGCGAAAAAATATAGGTCCTCTTCCTCCTACACATTATATCCAATAATATATACACTTCTTCTTATATAATACATTTAATGTGTGTGTGTGTGTGTGTGTTGTGTGTGCGCGCGCTTGCGTGCGTCTGTGTTTGTTAATAATAATATCGTGTCAATAAATAGAATACTTTCTCGTTCATTTTTTTTTCTGTTTTGTTTAAATTGACTGAAATTATGGTTAAGTATGATCGAAGCACACAAGAAGTGAAAAAGAAACGACGTGAGAATTATTGCTTCGATTTGCTTTTCAAGGGGAGGCGATGATATGTACCTAGCCTAAAGTATATATATATATGTATAACTACACGTGTAATGGGGAGCGTTTTTTCTTTTTTTCGTAAACTTCGATTGCATGGACTGCGTACATATATATCGGTACACAGATATTTCGTTAGCGCTACCTGTTTCGTATCAATATTATCGTTATAAACCGTTCGAGAGGGTCTTAGCGACAGGACAGTCTAGTAGAGATTTATAAATTCATAGATTCTGAGTAACGACAATCTTCGCTCAAGAAGAGAAACGAGCATTTTACTAGATCGACCTAATAGTAATACGAGTTTGGTCGAATGTTATCACTAATACACATCGAGTTTCTTACTTCCTTCTTGAAAGGACATCGTGACGGTGTCCTATAGTAATTGAATTTTTGTCTGAATTATAATACACATAGAAGGAGAACGAAAACGTTTACACGTTTATTTCCTTTCGTCTAGTCGAAACGACGAAACATTATTGTCGGAAGCAGAATCTCAGGAGTCTTGAAGACTAAGCTTTGAAATAATGTGATATCATGTTTGTTAGTTGAGGAAGTTTAGGATACATCTGCTTCGTAACCAAACTTTCCATTGGTTGCTTTCTCACAATTTGTGCGGCTGAGTTATTTTGTAAATACAAACTTGTTTTTACTCGCGAATATATTCGTAATAGATAGATATAAACAATGCCTAGCGAGCATTTAAAAAAAAAATAATAGAAATCAATATGCATTTAAAAAATCAACAATTCTTATTTACGAATATTTATTCATAAAATAAAAGGTGGAACAGTGGTGCTGAGAGTCATCCAACAACGCTATGGTAGTGTCAATATGCTAACTCCCTTTAGCATGAGCTTTACACTTCAAGAAACAATTACTTCCTGGTTACTTGAATATTCATGAACGAATTAACGCTCCAGCTAAGCAATAAGTGTCTGAATCAGCAGGGCCACCAGATGACTTCACAATATATTACCTAGAAATCCTGTGAAGTTTCGCGAAAGAAATTTACAGGAATTATTTTCCTTAAAGAGAAATACCTTAATATCTTCGTTGAATTATTTAAAATAATGTTCTTATTTGAATCTTCATACGTACAACTGTTGCTTATAATTTCAAACCTTTGTTCAACCGTGCTAGCCTTGCAGACGCCTAATTTCCTGCTCCCCACGATAACCAGTAACATTTGACAATTGCAAAGAAGAAATAGATACCCAGGATCCAAAGGACAGACATAATAGATCGAAACTGGCACCATAGAAATCAGAATGAAAACGAGGCCATGTAAAGACAACTAGGACTAATGAACGTTGAATCTAGCGATGTTTCGTCCATTTTTTCATAAAAAGAAACTAGTGGTATTGCCCATTTTCTCGAACAGACACATTTACCTAAAATTCCTAGATACTCTATCTACAATTTACGTTTTCCATTTACGTCAAGCCACGTTAACCGTGAGATTATTTGTTAGCACACAACCGGAAGAACACGTGGATTCGTCGAATGACACATTAGAGATTAAACGAAACTACAGAACACCGTTCTAAGACTATAGAAAGTAGCAGAAGATTGCGTGCGTACCGGTAAGTTATAGCAGAGAATCACTACGCGCTGGATCCAATTGTTTCACAATCGACCTCGAAAGTCCTCGATTACAAAGGAATTCATCGATCGCGAATTGAATTGTTCTTAACATTGTCCCTTCGCGAATCAATGGTGCGCTACTGGAGAGACATTTAAACACATTGCCAGCCAGTAAGGCAAAGTTACGATTTACTTAGGCGTTATCGGGCGTGGTACATAGTAATTATGCTTTGTCCATTGTGAGTCCTTAGGTTAAAATTACGTTTCTATTTTCTCATGGGATCGACTGTGGGTATATCTAGTGAAACGGAACTTTGTAGAAAATATGAAGAAGATAATTCAGAATGAATTCTCGTGTTTTAATAAATAAAATATTTACGATTTTCTTTTACTTTAAAAACCAAAAAAAAAAAACAAAAAAAAACCTATTTCTTGTTTCGAATGTTAAAAATAAAACTTAAACTCCCACAGTGTTATATTGGATATCTTGCTCCATTCAACGCATTGTATTTTTTCATGAAATATATAATCGTTATATTTCTTGGTAAAAATAAATTTCTACGCATGATACTCTGTGAACAGCAGCATCAGGCTAACGATGTGGTAACATAATCCTTTCGCGAACCAATGTTAAGCCAGGGAGGGGTACATTTAGGAGGACGATATCGCTGCTATATTTCTCCGTCGAACTCGAAGTTTCGTAATCTCGGCTCTACCGTCGATTTCAGCTTTCGAACGTGCCTCCTTATCTTCAAGCAATATACATAGGTACAACATTTATGAATACATGACTTCCTCGAGGTGCATCACCGGCCCTCGAATTTGCGTCTACGCTGGGAGCGTCGGAATCTGATGCAGATTGCGAAGACATCTTCGCGAACGCGTGGGCCGCGGTGTACATTTACAATACAAATATATCATACCTAAATATGATATGCATGACATTATGCGTATATGTATATATGTACATATTCAAATATATATTCTAATATATATATTTAAATATATATTTATCTATATATTCGTATATACGTAGAATGTCATGTATACACACAGATTTGTCGTGTAATTAGCCCTTAGCGGTCTAAGTTTTCGACGCGTTGATAAACTGCCAAGTTCGACTCTTTTTTACGAACAGAAATTACGTTGTCGGTTGGATTAATCACGAGAAGCTTTTATTTATTGTAATTAGGAAAAATTTAGTCGATAGGTTTATTTTCTGTGTTTAAATCACCTGACGAAAGATTTAGATCGTTATTTGCAGGAAAAATGTTAAATAAACGAAGCATTTGTAGAGACAAAGTGCCAAGTAAAAACGATGGGTATATTTTTTGAGTGTTGCTTAGTTATGTATAACGTGAACACATTGTACTATTTGATCACGAGTTTCGTAACAATAAACAGTTTGCGAGGAATTCTTTGCGGAGTAAATTTCATGGAACTTTGAAAATACGTTAGCAAATTTCTATTTTCGTTTTTAACACTTCAACTACCAGATTATTTAGAAACGGTCTACGATTTAGAAGAGGATTTTCTACATTAATGTCGGCTGACATTAACTTCTGCATACTTTGGTTCTAGTTACACCAAAAGCCTCGTTTGTTTCCCCATATTGAACACTGTAAGTAGACAACTAACAACACAAGTAATAGGTGTCTTGCACGTTGCATACTGTAATTAAAGAGCCTATAATTAGGCTCCCGGTATATAGTGTTAAAAAAATAAACAAAAAATGTTGTACATTGAACTCGTATTCGTTACATGAGAAACGTGAGATATATATTTTTCCATATAGCGTGAATAAAATGAAACAAAAAAAAAAAAAAAAAAACGCGTAGTTTATAAATCACCTTACGTCAAACTTAATTAAAGAACTTTCAAATAAAATAAAAACGCTAGTACTTGGACCTACGCAACGCGAAACTTTGTCTATCCCTAGAATGAGTACTTGGACCGCTAACGGTTAATAATGTATGCGTAGTATATTAGGTGTATATTACATGACGTATATAATAAATTTATTGTATTAATCGTAACATGACCATTGTGCATTACGTAAGAAAGAGCCTTGCACGTGCATCGTCGAGAACTGAATGGCGCAAGCACAACGGGTAACAATTTGCGGCAACTGTAAACAATGTTTTTTACTTTTCATATATATATATTTTTCTTCTCTTTGGGAAAAACCTAAAACGTAAAGTTCTGATCACGACGTGCACGCTCTTTACACACGCGTAAGACACAACGACGAGAGTTTTGTACGTTTGTTAGGAAGAGAGGCGCGCATATCGTGCGATATAAAACTGTGTTCCTCGATCGAGAATCTCCCCTACCTACTCGACAGTACCGTCATTGCGATTCGTTGTGTTGATCATCACCCGCGAAATCATCCTTGTGCTTCGCCTAGTGCTTTGTTTTTCTCTTATATTTGTTTCCCCCTTGTTCAAGTTCGAAACGAGCTTGGGTGGGCCGCCTGTCTCGTTCGATCTCGAAATATTGAAAAATCCCGTCGAATTTACGTCTAGTAGTTACGTTTACCTTAAACATCAATCATACGATACTTGTCATAGCAGCATCGGTTGGTTAACAAACGTCGCTCCGATGCGATTATCGATAAATCGCCCCGGTATCATAAAGTCCTGCTTAGATGCAACGCGAAATCGTCGATCGGTGATTGCCCTCCTGGCAAAATCGTCGATGCGAATCGTTGTCCTCTTTCCGTTCGGTATCTGAAGTGTTTCAGGCTCCGTTCTGTTTTCTTTTTTTCATTTCCTTCGTTTGGCGAGACGTGAACGATTGTTCTTCTTCTTATCCCAAGCCGTCAAACGATTTATAGTCTTCGTGTTTCACGTATATCTCGCGCGTACCTCTCCAAATTCGTATGCGGGAACTCCTTCGGGAAGATTACGTGATTCGGTGACTCGACTCGAGATCCAGCGAGTTCGTTTACAGAAAATCGAACGATTTATTTATTTCTCTCTCTCTTTCTTTCTTTCTTTCTTTCTTTTTTTTTTTTTAATCATCGTCAACACTCTTTGTCGATTGTGTCTGGGAGGCGGGAGGGGGAACCGTTGCGCGCGTTCAGACGGATTTCTCTCGTCAAACCGTAACAACGACCGCATTCGTGTGGCGTAATCTCGTACTAAAAATCGTTCGTATTCAAGATATCGGTGTTTCTGAGATTGTTTTTGTCGAGGAAGTTGTTCGGTTGCTTAGTATTTGGTGTGGAACGTCTCCTTCATTTGGGCATTGTGAGAACGACGTTAGTAAGCGACGCCCCGGAATTAGGGAGCCAGCATCTTTGAGAGCTCCTCGTCCTGGAGGCAACCCTTCAAAAATTCGTCCTGAGTCAGCTGACCGTCATTGTTCTCGTCCATCTTTGCGAAGATGTTCTTTGCTCTTTCCTCCGCGCTGTCCGCTGGCCTATTACTGGAACACGCACCGAGCATGTCGTATATTGCCTGGGAACAGAAAAATTGCAGGCGATTACGATTTGATGCAGTTCTGGTCTTTCGATGGAAGTTTATGATGTATCGAAATGTACGATTGTTATGTTCTATAGTCAATGTAAGAAGTATTCGTACAGTACCCAATTCAAAATAAATGGTTCGTGTATAAATACTTATTATATTGACTGTATGTCATATGTTATACAAAATTGTTTATAGAGTACGATGGCGTCCACGCTAAAATGATTAAAAGATATTTAGTCGGCAAAGGTAGATAGACTAATGCCAGTTGGATACAATTTTTTCTTTTGATAACGTTCGTAACTGACTTGTTCTTTTGTGCAAAGAATAATGTACGTACACTCCCGTTCCATTTTCTATCTTCAATGAATAATTAATATACACCGTAAATGATTACTATACAACTTTTGTTGCTAAATTCTATATTGGATGTGTATTTAACGACATTTAATAATATTAAATGTTTTAAGTTGCCGTATTCAATTTTATAGTAGAACCATGGAATCGTTTAGATAGAACAGTTCAGGATGAATGTTCAATATTTCAAAAACATTTATGACGAAATATTACAAAATCAATGAGATAATATTATACTTCGGATACAATGAGGAAATTAATAATATTCAAGTTTGGCAAGAGAAATTTTAACATTATCTAGTTATCTCGATAATTTTTTATATCATTACTAATGCGATATTGAAAAAAAACTATTAATAAAATATATTCGCTAATGTAACATAAACATATCGAAACATAAATTATATAATTGATATTAATAGATACGCAACTTTTATTAGATATTTATTTCTATTAAGGAAGTGTCCACGTACTTCTGAGCGGGGGTGTAATTCGTAAATCAAATGTGTAAATTGAAGAAGGATGTGCATGACACTTTTTATACTTCCTTTATTTATAACAATTTATATCAATCTCAATCTCAATCTCAATCTCATATTCTTTGTAAAAGATTTAAATAGATTGCACAGACAATTAACGTTTACACAAAAAAAGGTTCAATAATCACATTAATAACGTACACCATAAATATTTTACTGAATAAAATTGTGGTAACATTACTTCCTCGAAACAATTGTATTCTTCGGTTGAAAAGTATTGCGACGTAATTGTCCCTGTTAATTTACTAATTGTTAGTTTAATGAGGAGTATACGCCCTCAAAGTTTGTACATGTTATTTCTAGCACACAACATAACAAATGAACTACTGCTCTTGAACTTTTCAGTACCTTGTTCCGATTAAAGTTTAAATTGTTATAGTATTATTAATTCATATTTCATGGCTCTCCAAACATTTTACATGATGTTTGTGTATCATTAATTTGTTAAACTATAAATATAAAACCTTTTGTACAGAATGGGTAACATAAGATTTTATACAAAGTTATATTACTCTTCACATAATATTTCCAAATTATTAATAAAAGATAGACAGCGCTACGAAATTAGAATTTGAATTGCACAATTAAATTAGATATCAAAATGATCGAGCAAAAAGTTATTTGTACAACTGTTCAATTGAATAAATATCGCGAATAAATCACAACGTGCATGCGCCTTTGTTCGCCATCTATTATTCCAATAAAAGTTTGCTCATCTCTGCTACAGAGCAGCCTCGAACCTTCCAAAACGTCAAACTTAGACTGGACTAACCTACTTGCGCACACGAGTCGTATGAATTGCTATGGAAATAACAATGCTCAGTCGACAGCTTCGTGATATTTGAAGTTTAAAATAGGTTATCACTGTAAGGATTGACCCATCGGTTAGGCGTTTGTTCCATGATCATAGTGGATTGATTTAATTTTACACTTTATTCTAGATCATGCTCATGAAAGTTGAAGATTAATTTGTTTAAAAATATTCGAGACAGATCTAAAACTTGACCAAAACCTAGCAGGGTGTCTATCTAAATCGTAAAATGAAAAGCAATTAAACGAAAAATACGTTTGACGGTTATGATACAGTTATACAATATTTTAAAAGTGGATTAAAGTTTGTCTTTCTTGGAATGATGAGGAAACCTCGTATTTAAAAATACTCTATTTTTTTATTACAGAAAAACGGCTTTGAACCATCGCTGACCCATAAGATCTTGTACCATGTTTAATGTATATAGAGGGTGTCCCATAACTGATGGTACAAGCGAGTAGGGGATGATTCCACGTAAAAAATTGAATTGTAAATGCAGAATACAATTTTGTCATATGACGCTAAGCTTTAAATTATTGCTTCCAGGAGTGACGTAAAAGCACTCGAATCTCAAAATTTGTTCATGATTTTACTAAAACGATCAATAAATTAATGTAGCTAATAATTAAATGTAAAAGAGCTTTTCAAAAGCTACAAAACGATATATAACACTTGCATATGAAGTAATTTTAATGACTTCAAAAAATTGCCCAAACTGAAACAACGTAAAAAACGCACGAACTTTTGGTTCACCCATTTATTACGTAGGTTGAAATATACGAGAGCCAAGCTGTTACTCAGTCTTTGTATTACTTTCCACAGAAAAAAAATGTTCTATAACGTGATGTATTTTAAAATACTCGTGAACATGCACGTTTCAATTTGAATTCATATTAAAGATGATTCCAAACTCTCTCGTTAACGATATTACTCTGCTATTGAGAGAACTACATAGTAGCAACAACAGCTCAATAATGAACTGAAATTGAAGAGCACAGTAACGTTATAGAGATACTATATATAGACCTCAATGGATATATTACTTTACGTTAACTTTATTAACCGCAGTCAACCTTCGACTGGTCGAGTATCGGCAGTTTCATGTGGTCAACCTAATAAACGCTATATTGGCATTACCCACTTAATGGGAACGTTCACGTATATTCGTTTAACTTCAACTATAGTACACGTAACGAGCGATTTTACGTCACATCGCCCTAGGTTTTGATATCACAGTCGCTGATTTTAATCAAATTCCCAGCGTGTTCTGATAGTCTTCAGAATCGAATTCGCGTGCAGCTTCAGTCTACCTCGAATGCTTTGCAAATAATGTTAATAATGTTTGGAGAAATCGAACCAAGTTGGCCGTCACATATTTGCATACTACTCCGTATTAAGCGCAAAAAGGCAGCAGTTACTTTTTGCATCACGCTACTTTAATGGTTTACCGTGACCAACATTGCTTTCGATGTACGTTGCTAATTTCTTCAATTTATCGTTTCAAGTGACGAGCAGATTTACGAAATATTATACGTAGAAAATCAATTTATATTTTAGACATCATAATTGTTGAAATTGGTATTTTTTACGTGATATGTATAATGAAGGAATTTGATGAGAAGTCTGGTTACAAAAATTCCAACGAAAATTGTAGTTGCACATCAATTGTTCAATAAACAGATACACATGGATTGTATATAATGAAATATATAATAATATAAAATAAATGGGAGATAAATATTCAGTAAGGATAGTAGCACGTAATCAAATAGATTAAAAAGTAGGAGTTATTTGTAGATGATAGTAAACTGATAAAAATTAATGGAACAGATGAAATGAATTCATTGTAGTGTTAATTTTTATTTTTTTAAAGCATATGAACTATGATTGTTTGGACTATATGATAAGCAACATGAAGTAAATGTTTCTAAAAATTATTTCATGTTTTCTGGTTTATCAAAATAATCATCTAGAGCACTTCGTTAATTCAAAAATGACAAGTCAGAAACACAAAGCAAAATGAAATATAAGTTCCTATGAATTCCTTTTACTGGCACTTGGGTACTAAATCCATTCTTGAAATAGGTCGCATTTATAAAAATGCGCTACGTACAATAAATTAATGGAATTCCATTTCGTTCAAATTTTTTTTTATTTAAATACAAATAAAAATATTAACCTTCTTAAAAATGTTTCAGATCGGAGCCATGCTGGGATTTTTAATAAGCAGTACACAATACCTGCACGATCTTCGTCATTTCTTGAATATCGATGACGCCATTTCCATCGACATCGTACATGCGGAAGGCCCATTTCAGTTTTTCTTCCGGCGTTCCACTGGATGTTACGTCGATGGCTAACAGAAACTCCTGCAACAAAAGATTGCGGTTGAACTTTAATAATGTGGATACGGTCAATAATACTTTCGTTCCAGAGGCAACAAAAGAACTTGGCTTTTATCTGCCACCTAAAGCCGGTTATACACGAACGAGGCACACTGGAGGTTTGACCTACCGTCTTCATTACAAAGAAGACCATCGAGAACGACGAAACATCCAATAAACCTGTTCGTGTATAAGGCTACTAAATATATCGACAACTAATCCTAATCCAATAAAATGAACGGTGACGAAGTCTTGTCAATTTTACTAATTGAAAGAAAGGATCGATCCTTGCGACGAATGAAGTGTATTTAAATTAAGATGGAATGTCGATTAAAGTTTTGATTTTTAGGTGTCATCTACAGAACTATAATTATTTAAGAGGTAACACCATTTTGGTCTTATCATGAAATTGAAGTATATTTTGCTTAAAGTACTCAATATACAATACGAAAATGACATGTGGTTAATTAGAAATCGATATCGAAAGTGCAAGGGTATGTTTGAGTTACAGAAGTACAAGCGCGCGTCAGCGTAACGAAAGCTTTAAGTGCGTTTTTTCAGAAACAGTATTTTGAAAATCGATGGGCACTCTAGCCTCGCCAATTTTCAATTAACCGAGTCGAATCTCTTTTTATGCGATCATCATGTGTTTTTCTAGTGAAATACGTAGGATTTTTTTATTATATTAATATTTGTATTTTTTTTTTGTTACTTTAGAGCGATGGTATTTTATTGAAAATATATATTTTTGAAAACGGCTATGTATTTTACTAACTTTTGGATTAAGGAAACTAATTAATTTTGTTTCACTGTTCTAGCTTGAACCTGGTTTGAGTTATCGTACCCAGCACCGCAAAACCATTTATTTTTTAGACGCTCCACTAAATCATCTGACAAACTGCCATTTTTGTAAAAATGAGAAAATCAAGAATTCGTTTCTATTTGATTACTGACACGATACAATAGTGTACTTTAATATAAACAAAATCTTGTTATTGCTTCAATAAAAATTCTTGGAAAAGGCTGAAAATTCGGGTGTAATCCCGAAAGTGGTGAAACCCTTAAAGTCAATATTAGAAATTATGAGAATCAATAAAAGTAATTCCGTAGGAATAAAATCGATACAAACTTAACTATATGAAATAAATAATTAACGGTGCTGAAGAATAATAGAAAAGTGGGTTGTTAAATAATCTCGATGAAAACTTCCAGATATTCAGTCTTCCAGACGCCTGACAGTGAGAAAGGTCACACAGCGAAAAACCAAAACTAATTGACCGCAATTCTATTTTAATAGCAAATCGATACCCAGATTTGATAAGATCAAATATCTTCGCTTAAACGTTGATAAACGGAGACGTTCCTTCGATCAAAAGGTAAAACAACTGAAAATAAATTCCAAGAAAATGTATCGACTACTAACTTAAGCAGCTAAACAGCTAAGCAGCTACCAACTAAAGCAGCTTGGAGATCTACTTCTAACATCTTAGTAACATTGACTTTGTCGATGAAATAAAAAGGAAACATCGAAACAGCAAAGTTACTCAGATATCATCCTCAAATATCGTTGCAGACATTCCTCAAACACAAGTTAGTGTCTAATTCGCATGAATTTTAGAAACCTCGCCCTACCATACACATCCCTCTGCTGCTTCGAAAAATTTTCAAAATCAAGACACTACTATTACGTGTATTTCCATATTTTTAACACTAAACTTACCACGACCGGTCAAATAACCATTTTCCAACTTTTGTGTACAGTCTTTATATAGAATATACAAATTATAAACACTTGTTACATGTATTATGGGACTTAGTATCCCCAGAAATATTTGTTTGTGCAATTGAAAATAGCGTCTTTAAAACCAGTCATTTAATCGATCACGGTATAAATAGATACAAATAAATGTCGGTAGGTTTAGTGTTAAAACTGAATGAGCAGGAGTATAAAGAATAATTCGGAAAGAAAATCAGAATTTCTTATTGACTCTGTGTCTTTTAGTAAACCATCGTTCGTTTCTTCAAAGAAATGCAGGCTGTTAACCCTTTGCACTCGGGGCCTTTTTTTCTGGTATCTACCAGCAACTTGAGATGTTTCTTAGCATTCTATTGCCATGAATTCTGAGCTATCTAGATTTGAAAATAAGGTCACCTTTACCTCGCCGACAATCATTTTATCGACACTTCGAGCTTCAAAGAAATTAACCCTAAAGAAACATTAGGTATTGTAGATTTGCTGCATGAAACCTAATGGTGACTGAGAGTCACCTCTCGAGTGCAAAGGGTTCAAATAATAACTGCCGTGTTCTCTCTGTAACACCATCCATTACACCAGCTGCATTCCACACAACCCTACCACTGGATGTGAATGATCCCTAAGGCGGCTATGTTGTAGTTAGACACTTGACCTATACCAGCCTACCCCTCCCCTCATTGGGTATCGGGATTGGGATACACCCAGCCAGCGCATCCGCACTTCTGGTTCGAACTTCCAGTATGACAGAGAGCTGCAAGCCCAGCGTATCCACATTGGACGATCCACATCGCCTCCCTAAACCTTTGCTGTCTCTAATAGAGACTCTCTACGTAGGCAGTGGCAGAGTTGATTAACTGCGACTCACTCAGCGAGCCAAAGCTCTACCACTGCCACCCTAATGGCCTAGTCGACCGAAAGGAGAGTGGGGACACCCTGTCAACCCTGAGGCTTGGGAGTAACCAGGGAACACTCAATCCTGTCAACCTCTTCTGCCAACCCTCGGGGTACCATTTAAGCCAATCTGAGGCTTTCGTGGGACCACCACCGACCACTTCCAATCTACTTATCCTGTAGTTCACAGCACTGCTTGGGTATGCGTGGACGCTGTTACCCAACAACGGTGAAAGACAGAAATTTCATCAGATCAGTAGACTAAATGATTCTTTGTAGGTCTTTATTATTGGCATATGAATCACTTACGTAATTTTTGTTGAAGGCAAAACTCGTACCAAAAGTTGTTTACTTTTTATCCTAAATTAGAATTTTGCTTATCTCTGCTCGACGAACACTGAGTTCCAAAATGTCTGCTCTGCGAGGTACAGATTCCTATCATGTAGGAGCTTCCACCAATTATTATAATTCGACACTCTCTGCATACCAAGCAGCATTAATTAATTCCTTTTCCAGCCGCTTATGGCACGGTTCAAGCTACTATACGTAGTACGCTTCTGAATTGTTTCATGACTCGAAGCACATCATGGATAAAGAGGTAAATTGTTACTTTAGTTTAGAAGTTACATGTGGCATAAATGTTAGAAGAAAATAAATGTGAAAAAATAGAATTTTCGTTATTCTAATGCATACTCAATTAATATTCACCTTAAAAGTATGCTGTTGCTATACTATTGGTACGAATGAAGTTATTAAACTTCTTGCAGATAAGATCAACGCCATTGTGTTACTTCACGTGTAAAGTACTACTACACAGAAAAAATTGTATTCCAAAGCTTATCATTGTCATAGAGAATTCGAAAAGATAATCTCAGTTTTGCCATTAGATTTTACGTGTCAACTGAGAGGCAACAAATTTTGTTTACGTTAGATCTGGTTGAATCTCAAATGGTTAACAATAGAACTACCAAGTCAGTCGATGTACTTCATGCAGTATTTATTATATTTATATTACACGTATTCTATTTGACTCATTGATTTATATAATCAATTATACATATATTTTCAATGATATAGTAGAGTCATGAGTTGAGTGTCGATAGTTTTAGTATTAATAGCAGTATTGATTCATGAGTCCTAGTCTCTTTATACATCTTTTAGGCGGGAGTGGCCATGACATTCTATAGACGATCATTCGAGGTGTCGGAACCTAGTTCTAGTATCCAAGATCAGTCCTGAAGAATTTATGGTCAAGCAAGTGGTCCACCTCCTAGTGGTTCCCGCCGTGAGTACCCTTTCGGAGGGAAACCAACAGCCACCTCTGCGAATAATAGCATGAATGCAATAGGCATTTAGTTTCTTCCTCATGCCATAGTGCTCTGTCCAGAATTTCACTCCAATGTTCCTTTGAAAGTGAAAAATATGCACCTTGAAATAGCAATAGGATTCTTTTGTCTCAAATTTGACAGCCCCTCCAGTGTTAATTAACATTCAACAACATTTACTTCTAAGGTCTGTGCTCTGTATTGAATTTCACTCCTATGTTCCTTTGGAAGTGAAAAATATACACCTCGAAATAGCAATAGGATTCTTCTGTCTCAACACTTTCACAATGTTTCTAGAATTAGTTAACGCTTGAAAATTACGACAGAAAACTGCTTTTAAAGTCTCTTCTGTTTCGAAAGTTTCGTGGTCCTCTAAAAATATATTTCTATAATGAAATTAATTTAAATAGAAACGAGTTCAATTGACAGATACTGACGAGTGTTATAGAAAATACCATTCCGTACGATTAAGATACACGAAAGCATTACGCACCTTGCAGATCAACCCAAAATCTACGAATCTACAAACACAAAATTCTACATCGACGTATCGAAAACAAATCTAGGAGTAGAAAATAAAATAATCACTGAAGAACACACCTTATTAAAATATATTGTCCCTTTAAATTAATTTGCGTGAAAAATCATATTACGTCAGCTGTGAGAAGTTCGACAAATACTCTCGCAAATCGTTTGAAGTTGCTAGTTCGTCCCCAGCGAGAGTGTCGTCGAGGATTAAGCCGAGGTACAGCTAGAAGAATGAGGTTTAAAAGAGTGATACAAGCGTGAATACATCGGGGCATAGCGATTTTCAGGAACATGGTTCCTTTCACGTCAGGTACACGGGGGATTTTGAGTATCCTCGTCAGTTGGGCAAAACTAGGTCGCTTGACATGGAAGGTAGACAAACGACGAGGGTTTTATAGAAGGAGTCGATGGCAAGCCGGCTCTTTGCTCTTCCTGACCTCTGAAGTGTCTCCACTTCTCATATTGACCCTACCGACGTGCTGGTC